AAAATGTTAACGACTCTGTCGGTTTCTTGACACAATCCTGCGTGTTTATGCGGACGCCGATGATTTACGTTTCTTCTTCTCGCGCACCTGTTTATTTTCCAATCTTCCCCGTTCTTCGATCTTTCGCAATCGCGAACTTTGCTTTTGTTTCCTTGCTTGATCAACGGTGACTGAAAACGCTTAAACCACAACGAGAGAGAATTTTAAGAAAATGCTCGCGCGAAACGTTTTCCTTTTAAATCAACAATTGGTTCTTGTAAAAAAAGATTTAATATAATTATTTCTTTACTTGTGAAACATGTTTATGGAGAAGAAAAGCTCTTTCATAGTGTCCGCGGTAATTTAAATCTAAGTAATAAATAAAATTAATAAACTCCATAACTCGACGGTATGCAAAAATTGAAAAAAAAAGAAATTATCTTTTGTCAAAATAAAATGTATTTGAGAAAAGAAAATCTTTTTCTCTTTCTTAAGAAAATAAGCTCTCATTAATTAAAATTCTGTGTGTGCGTACACATTAGCATTATTTAGTTGATTGACTCTTATTTTCACGCTTACGTAATTGAATTAATAATTTAATCACGACACTCAATTATTTTCATTTATGTGATAGCGCGCGTTTATGAAATTTTGTTTTGCTCGCACGTTGAAATCCATTTTCACTCTTATGATGCTCTACTCCTCCATCCCCCTTATTCATTATATGTTTCTGAATGTTCTGATGTAAATTACAGGATGAAAATATGACTTATAAACATCAAAGAAAAGCAGCCGCGGCGGCGCAATTATTAGTTTATTATCTCTCACGCGGCGAATATGTGAGTTTATTTTAATTACCACGATTAATTTATAATTGCGTTTCGAAACGGCAACTCACGCATATATAAGGGATTACGTTGATGATTATATAGTGCTATGCTTAATGACATCGATGAGAGCCTATCTGGACTAAGCGCGCAGTTATATAAATGTCATTCTGCGCACTTAATCTTGCAAACCTTGTTCACACAAACTAAGGTACACTATGGTTTGTTTTATTTTAGTCGAGTTTCGTGTAATTGGAGAGATATACGAAAAGTGCTCACACACGGCGGATTCGCTGAAAAGCATTCCTGTTTCAACGGTGTATATTGACGCGATACGATTGCGCTAATTATCCAATCTACGTTGTGATTACATATTACCGTATCATATGTTTCTAATTATATTTTGATTTGTGTTTTGATTAGTTTGCAAATATGTTTACAAAACTGTTAAATTGCGGATTTTGGAACACGGAGTGTGTGTTGCATTCGAGACGTAGTTTTAATTTTAAAAAATCAATTTTTTGCAATTTTAAAACTCAATATCGTATTTGCTTGTTATCACGCTCAAAATTTATCAGCAGAAAGATGAAGAACAGTTCTACTTGTTGAGTTTCGCGACGCTTATTACGAAAGCTTTTCGGTGTTGCCGCGAGTCTGTCGCACGCGATTGCAATTTGCATACAAAAAGAAAGGGATGCGCGAGACAGGACAAAATGGGGCAAAAACCCGTTTTCACGATCAATTACGCAAAAAGCTTGAAGGCGACTGCGAACGATTCATCAACGGCGAAAAGGTCAATTAAACCTGCAAATTTCCGGGAAGATGATTAATGATTGCCATAACCGCGCGTGCGTTCTAGGATATTTGCCGGTAAAGTCGAAGAGGATATTACGTGTCTTTGTGATGCAATCAGATTTATAAACTTTAACGTGTTTGCTGAGAGGGAGAGAAAGCAATTTTGATTTGACGTCAAAATATCGTTTAGGTAAAACTAAATATGAAATGTTCGCGAAAAGCTCTGTGTCAAATATTGCTCTCGTTTCTCTTTCATCACACAATTTTGTACGCATAAAATTGTTTTGGTTTTTTTTTTACTATCGCTCAAAGTTATCATCACTAATAGCATTTGAGTTTCATCTGTACGTAATAATTTTGTTTGTAATAGAGACATTAGCGTGGAATCGTTTGCAATCCAAAATTTTTACGCCACCACAGATTATACGTGGATTTTATTCCAGTCACGTTCCGTATCGTCATGTTTTTAAGATCAGCCGCGATCGAAAATGATCGAAAACCGACCGGACGTGAGCAAAAAGAATTTAGGCTGATGTCAAGTTTCGTATACGATAATTTTGCTGCAAATCGGGATCGAGGCCAAGACGCGACTCGTCGTGGCGAGAAGGAAAGTAAGAAAGAACGAATGCACTCGGCCGAAGAACCCAGAAGTGCAAATCTAATTGGATAAACGATCTGATTTTGTGTTAAACGCGAGTTTGCTTTAATTAACACACAATCGAGTTAAGGAGTTCTATTCGTCGAACGTACAAGAACTGCGCGAAGATATTTAAGATCCGATAGCGTTTTTTCGGAAAACCAACTGTTAGTAATATAAACTTGTGTTTATTTTCGAAGAATATTTAATATTTTAATAAACAACTATTAATTGCATCCGTAAATAAACTCTTTAACCGTTGCGTATCGTAACGTGCTTTGTGACTTTGCGCGGAAAGGGAACAACGCGCTCGTGCGTATGCAAGTCGGGAGTACGCTCGCCTCGAAAAGCAAGCGAAACGATTTCCACGAAGGTATAAAAAAGAAAAGTGCAGGAACAAGCCGCTCGGAAATAGCCGCGGTTAATTTTGCGCGCGCTCCGTGCTATAAGCGTACATCATAGAGGGTTCGCGTCTGTTCATCGTCTCTCCTTCTTCTCGTTCTTCGTCGAATCCCTCCTCTCTTTCTTTCCTTTCCTCAGAGCTTGACATCTTCCAGTAAAAAACAGAAAGATACGCCATCTTCTTCGGAAAATTGCAAATACCAGTTCTAATATTGATAAACAACACTAAGATATTTAATAAGGAACAGCCGGCGGCGATATTTGCCACTCTGCCACATATATTGCGTGTATATACATATGTGCAGACATAAAGTAATTGTCTATATAACAGATATTTATAATCATTGTTAATAATTAGACCCGCAAATTAATGAATTGGTAACACACTTTTTTTTGACATTTTGGAATTAAAATCGCTTGAAAAGGCAATTTAATAAAGCGATAAAAGGTTGTTAAAAATTATCAGAATAAAAAGATACTCTTTGCCGTGTAAATCTATATGTTAAAGTTAAAAATTAAAATCCCCGCGTAATTGTTGAAACAATTACTGTGTGATAAAAGTCTTGATGTTAAATTATCAATTTTTTCATTTTGTAAAATTTGTAATTTTGTAAAGTTTCTTCGACCACAATACAAACTGTTGTTATTAAATTTCACTGTTAATAAAACGTGACTGTATCCGGTAACAGATAGAGTCCGGTAACAGATAATATAATTGTTTGTGGAAATTGCGGGTGTGAGGAATACTTTTTCGCTAATCGCGCGAGAGTTTTACGCATTCGCCATTAATTGAAAAAGAAAATGTAAATCCTCTTGAGCGAGGCAAAATCAATAATCAGCATCCATGAAATGAAAATTGCGTCGTGCGCTTGCGCTCGTCAATCGTTTCACCGATTTCCGCTGCATTTATTCGTACCGCAACGCGATCTTGCAACCCCAAAATGTCAAAGTCCTCTCCCGGTTTCACGATATTCCCGTCACGAGCGTCAATCGGACTTGTTCCTGGGCATTAATCCCGTTACGTTTTTCGTAGAAGCGATTTTATTGGAATAATTATATAAAAAAAGAGGAACACGTTTTTATATTTCTGAAAAAGTGACTTTTAACATTTCATATTTTATTCATATCTCTTTTTGTCTCTCTCTCTCTCTCTATTTTTATTTTGCACATTGTCACTTTTTTTTATTGATTGATATTGTTTTTTATTTTACATTGTTACTATTACATATTGTTTTTGTATTTATTTCTTTTTTTCTTTTGTTCAATTTTTTGTTTTTATATATTTTTACACTAATATATACATACACGGTCGTCTTTGAAAATCATTTTTCTTCTTTATGCATATTTAAGTGTCAAGAAACGTGTCTTCCTTTTTTTTTAGTTTTATTTTATTTAGTGGTTTTTGCAATGCCGACTGGGTGTTTGTCACCCCAACGTGCCTGACCGTTAACCTCCATTTTCTGGCAACTGCTAAACATACGAAGGTCTACGTATAGCTGAATTTACGTCGACATTTCAAGGAATATATCGCGACTCTCGAAATTTATCGAAAAGTCCGCAGAAAGAATGCCGCGGTCTAAAACGAAACTTTGATGCGATAACTTGCAACAGTTCTGTGACAGTCGTGGAACTGCATCTCTAGAGGTGCGAGAGTTAATAAAAATAATGTAGGACAACGACACGCGGCTTTCTGACGTCATTGATGTTTCGGTTAGCACGAGCTAAAATCAATCGACGATACTCTCGTAAAGCGGTCTCCGTGGACGCATTTAGAGACGCAAGATTACGTCGGTCTTTCTCGAGCGTCACGTGTATTCGACGAGGACGTTTCCTTGCTGCTCTGGTGGTTTCTCGTGAAACCGAGTTATTTGTGGGTTTTGATTATTTTTCCACCATCACACTTGTTTCGACAGCGGGAGAGCACAAGAAAGAGATAAATGACTCGGCGAATCGCGATGGTCCGTGTATTTCGTTCTTCGTCTTTCGTCGCTGTTCCTTTCTTCGCTTGAAAGAAAACCGCAAAGAAGATAGTAAGTAAAACGCGAAAAGTTTAGTAGTTAACATCGACATAATATGCAAAAGAGAAGTTGAGAGTATTTCAGATTTAGAAAAATATATATTTTTGCTGAATTATTTCTTAAGTGAAAAAGGAGGTTCGGTTATTTTTTTCTTGAAAATATAGAACATTAGTGTCAAGAGAAAAAAAAAATATATATATATATATTTTTTGTGACGATATATGTTCGGTATGGTTATAATATTTCTCTATTTTTTCTACGACATTCAATGATATTGAAGGGGCGATTTTCTCTCTGAGAAACACGTTCGAGGATATTCATCAGGTTTTATTCTTATTACAGACGTGCCGAGCGAGCAGTCCGTTTTTGTGATGCTGAACGGGGAAGAAAGCGAGCTCAGATTTTTAAACATTGTCAATCTAAAGGTAAAGACCCCTCTCTTCATTTAGAATGTACAAGAGAGAATGTACACTCACATAAAAATTTGAAAGTATAATATTCTTGAAGCACAGAGAAAGAGAGAGTACATATATTTATTGGATCTGTATGTTCTGTCAGTTTTTAATATTAATGCCAACAGAAATTAAGCTAACTACACTTGAATACAAATGCAAGATTAGCATTGACCGAATAAATTAGAAGCTGTAGTAAGGAAAAAAAAATATTGACGCAGACTTATAAAATGGCCGAGTGAAATAAAGTAAATAACGTAAAAGTGTGAAACACTTAGAAGAAAAAAAACTTTCAGGAGAAAAACTTCATTTAAAACGTAATTTTACAGTTCGATAGAATGCCCAATTTTCAAGACAAACGAAAGTAGATGTAAAATTTTTTTTTCTTTTTAATCGATTGAAAACTTGTGATTTCTGCACGCAGACCGAATTTGAAAAAATGCCCTTGCCAGACGCTTTTGTCGTGATGTACTCGGTGATCGACAAGGCGTCCTTTCAAAGAGCTGAAGAATATCTCGCTCGACTTCACGATCAAGATCTTCTCCGCGGTAGACCGGCTATTCTGGTCGGGAACAAGATCGATTTGGTTCGCTCCAGAGTGGTTTCACCTCAGGGTAAGAGGCAGTCCATCTTTCGTTCTTGCAACATACATCTTTCTTTCATGTGCTGTATGGTTTTGTCACTCTTTTGGAAATCGAACGTTCAGATAACATTCAATGTGACATATCGAGCAAGAATTATCCAGATTAAGATTGTTTTATATATAGTTTATTTTAACAAAATGCTCCACTTTCTATAAAATTTTTCTTCCGATATGAAATTTTCATATTTTTTTTACTAAAAACTGTTGTGATTTAAAAATTTTTTAATTAAATCAAGAAAAATTTACAATATTTTTTTATACGAAATATACATATGTAATATTTGATAACATGTATATTTATTAATATCTTGATACGTGTACTTGCACAAAACACTAAAAATACTTTTAAAATTCTTTTTGTGATAAAAATAATATTTCAACCGATGTTTCTTCATATTTACTACTTCGAATTGTTGAATTTTCTGTTATAGATGGAAAATGTTTGGCCTGTACATATCGCGCGAAATTTATTGAAGTGTCGGTGGCCATCAATCACAATGTCGACGACCTCTTGGTCGGTATACTCAACCAGATTCGTTTAAAGGTGGTCCAGTGTAACCAAGAGAATCGAAACAATAGCGGAGGCAGCGACAGCAGTCATTGGTACAAATCCAGAGGTGTCGTGCGCGCAAGCATGAAAGCCCGGCAGATGCTGACCTGGCTCTTCGGCAAAGAAGACAGCAAGTTCAAGAATTGCGAGAATCTCCGCGTACTTTAAGTCAACCAGATAAGAAATGTAGTCGGGCTTCTGTCCGACTTCTGTTTTATTAGTACGTAAGTAATTATATATACACGACGTGGCTTGAGAAGCTTCTGTCTTCTCGAGAGAGTATATCAATAATAGAAGAAACTTGTATGCGTTGATGAAAATCGAGTAAAAAGAGGCTCGTGAGGATGTAGTTCGAATGCGCGTGTGTGAAGAAACGAATGCGTCTCTTTCTGAAGTAAATAATAAACGTTGAATAGTTTATAAAGTTTAAAGTCGCGCCTAAAAATAATGCGCGACTTAGTTGTGCTTGAAAAGATACATATATTTCTCGCTCTCCTGCAGGGAAGAACGAACGGTCCGCGGACCAAAATGATTATAATTAGCATTGTGGATGAACAAAGTGCCAATTAGTGAAAATTAACGCGAGAACGGCGGCGTTTAAGGAGAGATTTTACGCCGAGTGAAGATAATGTCGCTCGATTTCGCGCTCGTTCGGCTGGAATTACAGCTGAAATAGTGAGAAATGTAAGTGATTAACCCTTTCAGTCGCAGGTGTGGCAAAGAGTGTGCGTTACTTTTCAGCAACTTTCTCGACGTAAAAACTTCCTTCTCGGCGCATTGAGGATAGAAAGCGAAGGGAGAATAATTTCCATTCACGTGGATTAACGATTAACTTAATACGGTTAAATTACGTGAAAAACAGTTTTTTTCGCGCTATATTCAGATAATTTATTGTATTTGTATAATTACAACACACGTTAAGTGTTTTCTAAACTGATTTAATTTAGTTCTTTTTTTCACTTGTCATTAAGATACACATGTATAGTTTTATCTTTTATTTTGAATTGAAAGAGTTTATTGTGTGGGTTTGGTTAGTTTTTTCCGCATTTGTAAAAGAATAAATTCCAGCGAAACGAGCGAAAAATTGGCAGCTCTCTCTGTCTCTCTTAAAATAATGCAATCAAAAGTTCAAATCGATCGTGAGGATAAAGAAAAGAATTTAACTGGACCATAGCGTATAAAATAATCATCACTAAGATTACAGATTTATTGTGTATATATATACATAATATAATAAGACCAATTACTTAAAAATCTTTTTAATTAATATGTACGTGTATATATAAAACTTACGTTATAAGCATATATTTCGTGTAAGCATATTCTATATATATGTATATATATAGAAAAAAAAAATATATGTACATATATGTAATATATATTATACATATATATATATATATATATATATATGTTGTACATATATATATATATGTGCAACAAACTATACAACAAACACGTATAATCCTAATCCCTTGTTGACGAGCGTTGACTCTTATCATCTAAATTGTTGCAAACAAAAATTGCCGCTATTTTTCGCAACTTTATATATCGGTTTCTATTGCCATTAATTTCTCCCGTTTCTCATGAACTTCCTGCGATTTATTACCAACACGCTATACAGTCAACTTTATGCAATACATTTACCTGACATTAACTTTTGTACGTAAAAGTCATGAGGTTGCTCTCCGTGTCGTACGTTTGTTCCATCCGGTAAAGAAATGTAAGATAAAAAGCGCTTATATAAAAGACATAAAAGATAAAAAGTTGGATAAAATTAATTGTGCGCTTTTGCACGTGTGTGTTATTAATTAATTATACACGACGCAAATGCATATCGAAATCTCTCTATTCGACAGAGTCTGAGATCAGACCTCGTAAATGCGGGTTTTCCGATTGAGTATTTTTTTATATTGTTAACTACATTATTCACATTTGTATACACATTTTAGATCAATTTATTAATTTTGAACAAATGCGGCATTTTGTGTGCAACGTTCCGCCGCAGCGGAAATCAAATCTATCTCCTGTTGCGTATTTTTTTCCTTGCGTGAGAAGAGCGTGTAGCAGTCGTAGGTATTATAAATATATATGTATATATATATATATATATATATATATTTAGTCTTCTATCCTTTTCGAATCTTTAAGAAAATGTCTTAAAAAAACTGTCTATTTTCTGCGATCTACGCCTGTGTATCCGAATTATAACAAACGTAGAGTGTGAGATTTAGAATGCATAGAATTTATATATAAAGTATATATATGTATACTCACACATATGACGGGAACAATGCACCAGTAACATGTGCTGCGGACTCTTTGCCCTTCTCGTTTGAACATTTCTCTCATCGTTCGTCGACACTGTACGTAAGGAAAAATCAACGTTTCGGATTTACGATCAGCCGAATTACAGACTTCCTTTCTGTTGTGCCACTTGAGCGTTTCGAAAATCAGTGTTTTGATTCTTGAATGAACGAAAAATAAAATTTCAGAAGTTTTATATTCTCTTCTCGTTCTCTCTCATCATTGTCATCGTTATACGGAAGTATATAATCTTGTTGTGTTGTTTGACCGTCGGTAAAGGACGTATCCTTTGGAAGATTGTGGCTGGGTCACATTTCTTGAACCGCATTCTACTGAATATAATCAAAAAGTTACTTTGTACACACAAATATAGCGTAAATATATTTTTTAACTTTCTCTCTTCAAATATATTAATATATTTTTATATATTTTTTTTATTATTTAAATATATTTGGTGATAGATTTAACTTAATGTAAATATCGCATCAGATCTCGAGTGATCCAGCCATCGCCAACAAAGAGTCAGGCGCGAGTTTGAACACACGTGTGTAAGGTTTGAGTTGTACATGAATTCAGTCTCTCTCTTTCTCTCTCTGAAATGTCTCTCGACGAGAAACCGAAGATTCTTACCAAGTGCCTTTGCGTATTTTTGTAATTTAAGCTAACTCGGTGTACAAGTGACACTCGGTGTCCATAAATATATCGCACTATGTTGTGTGTGTAATCTTATTATGTTACATATATATATAGTATATATATATATATATATATATATATATATATTACTGATATATTATACTATACCGATGTACTTATTTGTTGTTAATTTTATCACGTTACCTGTGCAAAATAGCGTTTTATACGCTTTTTTTCTCTTCACTCTCTTTCCCGTGGTGGTGTAACTTTCACTTCCAAAGAATAATACCGGATTACACACCAGATTCTCTTTTTCAATCTTTAATCTCGTTGAAACAACGTCAAAACGACAATATAATAAGCGTAAGAAGCGATGAAACAGAAGTTTCGCGCTTTCTCGTTTCTAATCCGATTAAAGGATTTTCCAATTGAAGTTACGCCCCGCTGAACTTCCATGTTTGTTCATTCGCGCTATTAGCATTTCTCTCCCGAAGAAAAGTTGTTGAAACAAAAGAAAAACAAATGTATCGTATTAGTATTAATGTGTCATCTGCTCGCTGTAATACGTGTGACACATGTGTGTGACAATACTGCCAAATCTGTTTGGTTAATAAAACGCTGAGAACATAATTTCTATTGCGACAATCCGATATCACTCGGAGCTCTATGCATACGGAGGTCCGATTTATCATCTGTGCGCTCGATTTCCACATGTATAACGGAGAATTAGTTTCCGTGCATGAATTGTCTCATTTACACACACACACTGCAAAAGTTTTAATTTACCTTGTGTGCCAACGCAGTAGTGTGTAGAATTACAACAATGCGTGCATGGTTATCGAGAGACACGTGGATTTATAGATCTATAGTTTACTCTCCGAACTGACACGCGTATCTGAACAGCAGCATTGTATTATACGTCGACGAATTGTTTGATCTACTCGGAGTTGAGATCTTTATACAGATGTTTTTTCGGCAAACAAAAGACACACATACACACACACGCGCGCGCGCGAGATATTAACAATGTTGTATTCGAATTAGATTCGATTCGAAATCAAAATTATTTTAGATCTCTGATGAATGTAACTGAATAATAAAATCTTGTTGTTTATTTTTAGAATTACAAAAACAACCTTGATCGTCAAAATTTAATATCAGATATTGAAACATAGATGACATCGTATTTTTCGATTTGTTTTGAAAATTTGTCAAATAAATTATTCTGTGTATTGTACGCGATAAAAAAAAAAAACCGATCTTCATTCAGTTCTACATTGCAGTAGCCAGCTCGAGTTACTTCCACATTGCTTTTGCAATTATGAACGTTGCTTGTTCGGCCACGCGGAGAAATTAACACGCATCATTGCTTAATCAATCGCACGTCTGTCTCTTCTAGCTTATGTTTTTGTTTCCTTGCGTCAATATCTATCGTAAATCAACATTATCGCGACACTTGGTTTAATAAATACTCGCGCCAGACGCGCATGCGTTTTGCGCATCGATTATTTTGCTTGATGCCAGATATTGCCAGCTTCTGGTATTTCGCGGCGGATTGCTATGCGACGCAGGAAAACAAATGCCGGTTTCTCGTAACCCTTTTCCTGAGTGCACGTGCACGTGACAGTACATACCAGAACGTCATATCATACCGTTCACAGAATGGAACTTGCATTCAAACGGCCGGAAAATTTTATAAAACTGCGCTATACAATCTTACGTATTATCGCGAAAAGCTAATTCTAACCGCTTATAATTTATAAATAAAGGTAATTACGTTTAATTAACGATCTATGTACTTTGCTAACACAATGTTAGTTAATTGTTTTTTGCACTTATACGCTATATTAAAACGTTAACTGAAATATTTAATATTTTACTTTTATTAATATTTTTTACGATTTTATTGATACTTTTTACGATTATATATTACTTGTGCAAAAACTATTTTAAATATTTATTAAAGATCAGAGATTTATTTTGTCAATAAATTGAAAAGATATGTTACCACGATCCATTAACAATGGCATCTGCAAAACCAACCACATGCAAAGAAGCTATACGGCGATGGGAAGAAGAAGCCGGGCAGGATGCGGCTTCGGCAACAGAAGTGATCTTGAGCTTTCAGTGGCCGCCAATAGAAAAAATGGACAATGCACTAGCGTCCTTGGTCAATTGTGAAAAACTCTCATTGTCGACGAACATGATCGAAAAAATCGCAGGTAAAGCTTTGTCATTGTAAATATCGTGTTGCTCTGCACGCGCGCAATTAATTAATCATGTTACTTTGGCCCCAAATTGAAACAATTAAACATTAAATTTAATACGTTAATGAGCAGACAAATATCTTTGAATAAATAATAACTAGCATTGAAAGGATCATTTATTTATTATGTATAACACTTATGTATAACTTATTGAATTGTGAGGTAGGTATTCTCTTTTTTTGGCATACTAAAACTTCTTTATTTATGAAACGTTGTCAGTACCTACGTAAAATACTATGTTTTGTCCTTAATTAATATTTATTAAATTGATTATAATGTTTTGTAGCGGAAAATTTTTGTCTGTTTAAGAGCGACGCATAATTTCTCTTAAAATTTCAGATGCAAAATTTATTTTGCAAAGATAAAAAAAATGTCTTTTTCTATCGTCTTGCTTCGATTAATCAACGCTCATTTACAGTACGATCGATTTATGCAAATTGCGATACGTTCTAGACGCATCAGAGATCGATGCATATTCGGACTCGTGTCAAATGCATAATGCATGTTCGAACGGTTGTCTGTCTCAGTAACACGACGCAATTATAATGTAAATATGATTATGGATTTCACGTCATTACGAATGGATCACGCAAGGACGCGCGTTAATATCCTCAATTATTTTCACCAATTTACTCACCGTGGTAATTAACGTCGACGTCCACTAGGATTTGTCGTGTGTAACTTCAAGTGACGATTATTCGATTATCCGGTCATTTAAGTAATCACTCTGTCACACATTCGGCAAGTGCTTTCACAGTATTGCGCTCACACGATATATTACGATATTTATTAAACTTCCTTGTCGTTTCTTTTTTAACCATTGTTTTTGGCAATTGTCACATATGTAATTATTTTTTTCCACATTTTTCAATTGTTACACACATATGTCCTTTTTTCCTTTTTTCGGACACAGGTATCGGGACACTGAAAAATCTAAAGATCCTTTCTTTGGGTCGTAACTTAATTAAAAGCTTCGCCGGTCTCGAAGCTTTAGGAGACACTCTCGAAGAACTGTGGATTTCTTATAATTGCATCGAGAAGATGAAGGGCATTCAGGCAATGAAGAATCTCCGTGTACTATACATGTCCAATAACTTGGTGCGAGAATGGAACGAATTCGCGAGATTACAGGAACTGCCGAATCTGGGGGATCTCGTCTTCGTTGGCAATCCGTTGTACGAAAGTCTCGAGGTATCACGATTGTTAATTTAAACAAATATACAAATTAGAAACAAGGCCACATAAAAGCTGTTGTTTTCAGGTAGAGCAGTGGAGACTCGAGGTCGCACGTCGTTTGCCGAATTTAGAAAAGCTCGACGGCGAACCTATAATACGAACGGAAGAAAATCCAGTCGCTATTCAATCAGCGAAGATCGCGGGAGATAATCTGCCACACGACTCGCTCGATCAAGAAACCGGCTAAGTTTTTTAGTGCATTGTATTTATGTTTTGTAGTTTTTATATTTATATTTTTATTATAAAAAAATAGAGAATTTTATCATCCGTTTTATCTGCACAAAATTATTTCTTTAAATAAGAACTTTTTTTTACCGTCGATTGTAAAAATATCTTCGATGAATCACTCAACACAATTTTCTTCTTACTACTGGTACATGTTATCATATACTTTTTTCTTTAATTAATGAACGATCACGGTTCACGATTGGTTAGAAAAAAAAAAGAAATCATTGAAATCACTCTCCCAAACACACATACATTTATATTAATTTATTCGTCTCACGATACAAGATAGATCGTACATACGTTTTGGTGATTTGAAAAAGGTTGAAAAAGCAAATACAATAGAGTTCGTTTGGATTCGATGCACGAAATATGTCGAGGATCAGACAGACGAATCTTCGAGGTTTGTTCTTCGTTCTTTTTTTTTTTTTTTTATCATAGAAGGCGTGTGAATTGTAAAGGTGTGTTATACGAAGAGCGCTCGTTTGAACAATTATATATATATTCTTTTATAATTATAACGACTTGCGCGTTCGCTCTCGCTCGTGATACGTGCATTAGAACAATTGACATGTGTGCGTCTGAATCTTTACGCGTTTGTCTTCTTCTCGTGTTTGATTCTCCAGTTCGATTTTGTTCCGCGTCGCCAATTGGTTTTTTGTTTCCAGCATCGATAATGTTAACACATATAAATTCGCGATCACTTTTACAGTATATTATAATTCCTCATCAGTTCTCGCGCTCATTCTAAATTATCATAAAAATTGCTATAAGTAAACAAATCCGAGAGAAAATGGCATCATTCTTAATAACGTAATTTGCTCTAATGCTCATTGATTCGGCGCGTTAAGTGTCAAAGATATTGCACTCGAAGTGGACATTCACTTTAATTGTATGAGCGTTTAATTGTTTTGCCTGATTATTATGCGCCGGAATGTTCTTTAACGTTTTGGTCACGAAGAATTCGTCAACGTCGGAAAGGAAAGAGTGAAAAAAGTCTATACGGAATCGCATACATACATTGTGTGCAAACAAAATCAATCAGAAAAGTTTTTGGTGCAGAGAGGACGATGCACATAGGACGCTTTTCGTGTGAAAAATACATTTATGACTTTCAGTATCGAGTGTCGTTTATTTTCTTCGCAATTTTTGAAGAGATCACAGCGTGTGTGGCGTTTCCTGAGAAAAGCGTCTCTATTTTCGTCACAGAAGCAGAGAGCATCCAGAAGAAAAGCGCGATTCAGACAGACAGGTGGTTTTAGTTTTTCTTCGATAAGTTAGTGGAAAATTAAGTGGCAGAAAGATAAAAAGAGACTTGTTTTCAGTCACTGACGAGTAAGAAAAATATCGTATATCGACCCTTAATGACCCATTCGGCGCTTGACCCGCGCCGTCGAAGCGACACCGAAGCGGCGCGATTTTACGAGGAGGAAAGGAATTTTTTTGTTTTATACAATTTAAAAAAATAAATCTGTCACAGAGAGAAAAATATTCAAGCTTTACTTTTCTATATCACTCTATTTTATTATTGTGCTCAATGATTTGATTGGTGTGATCGATATCTAAGTTACTTGTTAACGTTATTATTATTATTTCGTTGTGCGTTGCATTATCCAAAAGACAGAGAAATTTGCGCAATTTGATTTTCTATTATTTTTTTTGTTTCCTTACACGCAAAACGACTGCTAATTGAAGCGAGAATGGTAAAAAGATCGTTTTATTTTCCTCCCGGTTATCTCGTGAATCACTTCTGCACAACTGAAACGATGATTTTTCCGCGTGAGTATCTTCAATGACTTTCTTTATTGGTGAACATGTTTGTGAAAATAATTTGATCCAAAGAAAGTCATTGTATACGTTTTATCGATTGTGTTTTTCTTTCAATCAAGGAAACTCTTATTTTTCTTCCTGCAACTGTGATACTCGACAGACAAAAATCGCGCGACCGCAAAGAAAAGTCTCTCACTTTCTCAAATTACGTGAAAGTACCTTTCGTGAGTAAGTATCAACCTGCTCGATTTCTTTTCTCTCGCTCTTTATATAAAATAAAGAACTTCTTCACGGTCGCTCCGGGGTCGTTTCGAGCCTTTCAAAGCGGCTTTTTAAACATTTATCCTTAGCTACGTCACACCGACTTGTTTTTTTATTTTTTTTTATTTTTTATTTTTACCGCTTTTGTGCGCCGCATTAGTTTCGCTCTCTATATCTCTCTTCTTCGACACAAAAATAGTTCTGATATATATTTCTCTCTCTCGATCCTTCTTCATTACGCCTTTTAACTATATTTGTTTTATTTCCTCTTTTAAACAAACACCGATTATATTTTCAACACGATTTACATTGAAATAGATCTGACGGATCTCTGGGATGAAGGCTGGTAAGAAAGATAGGCAGAAAAGTAGAGTGCGTGGGAGAGAGAAAGAGAGAGTGAGAGTCGACGATATACCGCAAGGATGGATTTTCTCCTTCTACTTCTCCTCCTCCTCTTTCCTTCTTCAATCTCTTCTTCCATTGATTCTTAAGATTAATGCAAGTCTTGATGTACGGAGCGGTTGCGCCGCGAGTTTGCTCTTTTCTGTTTTGCATAATGCGCTTACGTGGTGGCGAATCGTTGTTTCTGCTTCTTCACAAAGTCGAGGGCCAGTTTGTCGCCGATTCGAGTTTCCAGTATTTGCAGGATCGGATTATCTACAGATAAAACACGTAAATATAATATAAATCGTTGTTCATGTAAACTTCGAGAAATCATTCGTGAGAGACTCACTCCGATTTTTCTGGTGCATAAGTGGTAGCTCCTGGTGCTTGAGGCCGTGGAAGTTATCGATGCTCGTGTTTGTGTCAGCGACACCAGGAATGGTGCTGAGACCTAAGAAGGCCTCGCCGGCGAAATCGTTTGCCGTGAGGACATCGTGATCCATCACCGTAAAGAGAACCATCGCGTTAGGATCGCGACATTGTTCCACGCTCACCGAACTTGAAAAATAAAATACACATTTGCCGCGTTATAAGTAATTTTTTTGACCGTTTATTATCGATATGCGATATACTCACAACTCGAAACACTCATCAAATATCGGATTTAGAGTCTTCTTTTTAACGTTGGTTTGCTGCTCGGCGCAATGTTCGAACATTCGTCGCGGCAGCAATTCGATTATCACGAAAGGATCGCTAAACCCATTCGGGTCTAATGGTATTACGTCTCTAGCGCTTATTACTTCCACGCAAAGGGAATCGTGATTTAAATAAGCACGCACTGTCAAGACTCCGTACTCGTACGTTGTTGTGCTCAGTTGGTCCTAAAACGCGTTTGACATGTAGACTTTTATTTTATTTATTTACCAAATAAAATTTGAAAAATAAAATACTAATAAAAGAGAGAGATAACTCTTTATTGTTAAAAAAAAATTAGATGAACAGATTGTCAGTATATATTCAAAAGACTGATGTTCGGAATTGCATTTTTAAAATTACAAATAAATAAATAAATATGCCACAAACAAGCGTTTAAATATTAATATGTTTGCGAATTAATTCCGTGTATTATACCAAAAGACGTTGCTGATAATATCGATCGATCAAAAAGGTCGTTTCCATTTTGTGATATTGAAGCCGCTCCTCCGCGTTTATGAAACTCTGACGACGTAAAAGTTCCAGAGGCAAACCTTTGTCGTCGGCGTTGAAAAATCTTACTAGTAAATCGAGCGCCTCGTGCAATCTTTCGTAGAACATCGCTGGTTTATCCTGCAAATAATATTTTATACGTACATTGTACATAATTATAACATATGAAAAAAATTTTTAAATTGCTAAATGATAATTGTTACGATTTGTTTCACCTCGGCATTCCCGTCCATTTGATTGCCCAATTCACCAAGAACCACTTCCCAAATATCCTGCAGAACACGATGGAAATTCGCGGAAAGTAAAGCAGAGTTCAATGCCACTAAATGAACATCCAGGTATTCCACCAAAGGCGCTATCGCTTCCGTAGTCGGTAAACTATCGGGGGACCAAGCCAGATGAAACATCGCCTTCTTCAAAGGTGGTCTCATCTACAAAATCGTATTCCAAAATTTACGAGAACAGCTCGAGCAGCGATTTTTCTTCATTTGTATCTACGTGTTTTGTATTAACATACTTTGGCGCCGATTCTCGAGATTATCTGATTTATGAAGAGCAACATCTGTCCGGGAGTTTGCTCAAGCGGAGTCATCAGAGTATTACGCCATTGCATTCGAACGGATTCGCCCGCTTGAATTTCCAAGGCCGTTAAGACCTGTTCTACACGAAGTTCCTCACCTAAGTTGAGTAACCATCTTCTCACATACTCGAGACCATTGACGGCTACGCACATCTGGAACACGAATACAAAAATTTAATTGATAATTGATGAGATCGCGAAATGTTCGATCAAATTGTATTTTTTTACTTACTCAGTGAGTACAATTATATTTATAATATTATTTATAATATTCTTATACACAGAGTTTTGTTAACTTGTATGATTTATTTGTAATCAAAAAAAGTGCTGTACAAATTTATATTTAAAAAAAAATTTATATCTCTATGTATATAATTTCATACGTGCATGAGAACTTATCGCGCAGGTTTCAAGTTTGTGTTATCCGCGCACGCGCAAATAAACAAGCTTCCATGATGCTTCTTACATAAGCCATCGCACTATCAGTAAAGAGTATATTTATGCTTGCTCCGCATATCGCATATCATGCTTTGTTTGCCGTGCAGAGTTGATGACCTCGATACGATTCGGTCGTAGAAACTACTTCGCGAAGCGGGAACTACTACTGTTTGTATACTAAAGCGAAGCAATCTCTACCTGAGCGATTACCTCATCTGTCGTCTTATACGGCGTGTGTTCGTCATAATATCCGCTATCCGCCAGTTTCTGATGTGTTATCTCGGCGTAGTAAGCCGCGGAACTGCATATCGCCTACGGCAGAGATGTTAAATCTTGTGATACCGCAGCGGTATTTTGACTAATCTTCAAAATGTGTACGTATAATTTTATTATGTTAATATAGATATTTTGTAAAAATTGCATTGAAATAAGTCACTTTGGCGCCGGATGACATATTATTTTATAAATGTCAATTTATATGTTTACTCATGATAAAAAAACAGTATCATTTAATAAATACTTTTAATTGCTCACAGACAACTACGCTTCTTATATGCATTTTCTTAAGTTGGAATCTATGTTCTATAATGACTGTCACGCTTTTGTTCTATAATGGCTGTTCTATAATGGTCGGACTCGCTTATACGGCGTCTACAGAGAGTAGTTTTTATAAGTAAAAAGATCAAGAACCGCTGATAGTTGCATTTTAAAAAGTATAAATTTTTATGCAAAGAACTATTCTCTCAGTTTTTTCGAAATTTCTTTGAAAAATATCATTTTGGGTAAAAAGTTATAGCAGTTTTTTTAAACGAAGCGCAATTGAGTCAAATTTCACGAATTCTTCCCGTCAAACTCTGCATTAAAACGCCGCGGCGCTAAAGTGACTTGAAAATATATTCTTTTAAGACACAAATATACTAGCAATATACTAGCGTTTAGGAGTTTAGATGCAGAAATAACAATTATTTACTTACATCGATGACTTTTAGGACGAAATTATAAGATCCAGCTACATCCGGCCAGGCGAGTTTCTTCCAGAATTCTTTAATCTGTGATATACATTACAAAAATACAATTTCTTTCTTCAGCAAGAGAGTTTATTATAAATGTTTGTATTCTACTTCATAATCACAAAATAAAGCGAAGTACCTGATAGAAGCACGCAGTGGCGTCGATCGCAGATGTACAGTGTTTGACGAAGTATTCTCCAGTGCAGATTCGATCGAGTTCCGCAGCTCTTCGTATTCTCTGGACCGCTTTGAGCTTTGCCAGATCCAGCCATTTGTCAACAGCTGGTCTGAACCACTCGTAGTACTTGCAGATCGCCAAAGTTTTGTGGTCTGATTGCGGTAAGTTGTCCTTCATGCTAAAACCGACGAGTTTTATGCTTGCAATATTTTGGTAAAGTTAAGAAATATGTGAAATAAATATTTGTGCATTTTATTATTTTGTTTTCAAATATTGAACAATGCACAAGTTTATTGAAAAACAAGATAGAGTAACATAAGGAGAATTTACTTGACGAAGTCTTGAAGTGCGAAATAAAGCTCGAATATTGGCGTTCCTATTTCAGCACCGGGTGGCAAAACATATTCCTCGTCTCTGTTTTGGCCATGCAGTTGTAGACAGGCGGTGGTAACTCTTGCACCGAGCTCGTTGTGCATCTGCGAAGTTGTCGTTCCAATTACGCATGATTTTTTGAACGCATATTCAAACACAAATGTACAATAAAGACTTCTTTGAATATTCTATTACATTTTATATTAACCTTGTGACATTTCATGAAAAATTTTATACTCAGTTAATTCAATACTTTTATAAGTAAAACTAAATTCTCACTATACATCTTTTCGGTTGATCTAGTCTAAGGAAACTATTTATTTTTTGTGTGATGCGTATAAAGCGCGTTTGAAATTAAATTTCGCTTGAGCTAATTTCGTCATTACGTGTGCGCTCCGTATATCTCAGTGTAGCAACTTGGTTGGCTTATTATTCATGCGTATCGTTTAAACGCGCAACTTAACGACGTGTCGCAAAGTTCTCCTTTGGATTTGCAAGCTCGGCACAAAATTTATGCACAAAGTCATTAAACTTCGATATCGTGCGTTTGCAATAAATAGATACTCGTGTACACGAGTACAGCAGAGCTTGCTGATGTGCGTCACCTCACTCGAGAGAATCCTCACGAGACATGCTGGATGTCAGACAATGTAGTTAACGGAGATAAACGAGAAGGTCGCGTACACAGCGGAGACAGAGTCAACATTACAAAACTTTTTGAACATCTCCACGACGACAGGCCGCGCTTGGTATGAAAGAACTTGAGCAAGATATACGCACCGGATGCTCGCAAAGTTTTCAAGTATCTGTGTTTGCGCGTAGAACTTACAGAAAGGTTGTCATAATCAGTTTCCGCTTTTATGCCTGACGCTGTCCGACGAAATAAAAGCGCGATTTTATTAAAAGTTCGCAGAAGCACAAGAGCCGCGCTTAATTGGATTTGGTTTAATTTGAACACGGTCGAATTTAATTTTCATCAAGGCGGGACGAACGCGCAACATCGAAGCGATAAAGATCGCCATATCGAGGATTTTTCGGATTTGAAATTTTTCTCGGCAGAAAGGAAAAAGTTCAATCGCTGTCGCGGTTGAAAAACTTTTGTGTGTGAGAGTAAAAAAGAGAGAGAGGGGACGCTTTTACGTCGTCTACGAGAGAAATTTAATTAGAACCCGTAAATTCATTGAAAGCAAGGGTACGCAAAAGTATTCGCAAAATTGTAAAATGATGTAATTACAGAACGATGTCGCGACTTTTACGTTCTTGAGTAGTTGATAAAAAAAAAAATGTCAATCAATTTAATGTAAAATATTTTATATAAATATTAGGAACACACATTTTCCTAATTAGAAGAGCAGAAAATTTAACAATGATAAATTTTAACAATTTACAAATTAGAATCTAGATTAGAATTATATCATTTTATTTAAGCTCGTAAAAAACTAACTCGATTATGTAGCAATCTTCTCTCTCTCTCTCTCTTTTTAACGATTTCACTCTATTATCAAACTAATCGATCATAACGAGAAACACACTTACCACATGATACGTGCACCAAGGTAAATGAGCATAGTATATTATCTGCAAGACTTGCGAGCGCATGCAATCAGTATACGCGTCAAACGCAGCTGTGTGTCTCACTATTTAGATAAATTCATGCGTCGTGTGTTGGTTTTTATTTGCGAGAGAATATAATTTCGCGGAGGAAAAAACAAATTCATGCATCAACAGTGAGAAGTAAGAAATCAACTGACAAACGGTAAATTACGGCAGCATCAGTTTGTCTGGCTGTAATGGGAAAAGAGCTCGGCGTTGACTTTTGTGCACAATGGTGTAACAGAAAAAAGACAAAATATGAAACGGTCGTAATATGTTAGAAATTGATGATATTAAAAATACATTTAAAGCATTGCAAACTATATTTACAATTAATTTATATATTTGAGCATGTGAGACAGTTTTAATAGGATTCAGTTTAGGGCCCAACGCGAGCCGATGTGAAATCCTATTTATATTTACAGTATAGTAATGTTAGAGTGAAATTACTTGGCACATATCAGTTTCGTGCAGCTTGCGGATGTCTTTCTCATGTACATAATGTATGTATAAGTAAATGAGAGTGCTTTCTCTTGTGTGTTAAGAAACTATATTAACTAATCTGCGTGTGTAATTAAGAGAAACTATATTTTTATACCAATCAAAATTAATCTCTATTCGTCTTAAAGAAACTAATGTATATGTAAACAATATACACATAATAAAAATATACTCAACAATTACTAGGTCGACGTCTGAACGTTTTCAACTGCATACTCACTGTATAGTTCTTCTATTATTTATTTTCTATTATATTCATAGTGTAACTATACAAGTATAGCTATACTACGTATACGCAAAATCACAGTAATTGGATATTAACAAATTAATTCGCAACTTTTCCAAGAGTATGCAGGCAAAACACTGCGACATAAATATACAATTTACATTATGCAGGAAATTTGAAATATAACAGACAAAGATAGAGAGAGAGAGAGAGACAGAAAGAGAAAGATAGAAAAGGAAAGAAGGGTCAAAAAGAGAGATAAAAAAGAGAAAGTAAGATAAAGAGATTAATTTAATATATTTTGTGGTGGCGATGAAAAAAGTACCTCGGAAGTGTTCTCCATGTGTTTCGCCACGTGTTCGGCCAGCTATGGACAAACATCTCGTGTACAGTAAAATCGCGCTGACCTGATGGACATTTATTAATCTGTCATTACGCTTTGTCTCAACCTGGCTCCTTCAGGTCACTGCGACTTGTTTATTTACAGCGTGTCCGGCGTAACAATTTGCCACGTATTTTTTCACTTCATTTTTTATTTTTTCTTGCTCCTGTTTTTTCTCCCATGTTATGTTTTGCAAATATAAATTTTCGGGACACTCTATATATAAACAAGAATATGTATTGTTATTTCGCTGCAAGAACGTCGACCGGATTTATTTTACAAATGTGAGCGTAAGTTTGTTTTTTAATTTGATTTTTCGTCAAAGTAAACTCACAAAAATCAAACACATTCGATTGATAACGTATTCTGTAATGTGATTTCCATCTTTTGTAATTTAAGCGGAGATAAAATTGAATCGCGAAATTAATTTTTAGTTTTCAGAAAGATTTTTTTTTTGTAACAATGTTCTGCACGATCGACGTCTTGAATAAAGCGCTTAAGCCAAACATAGCACATCCAGCTTCACGACACAGTGAATAAAAAATAATGACGTGTTATGTGACAGTGTGACTCTGACGCGGTATTGTTTACTAAATCACAAATAGTGAAAACCCAGTCATATAAAGTTTTTCATTATCCGTTCACGAGAAACGCTTCTTTCACTTGCTTTCTTACCAGCTTTTCCAGTTGTTTATAAACTGCCGAGAAATATGGCACACCGTTCGTGCTGAAAGCATAAATTTGAGTGTCAAATTATTCGCTGCGCGATATAAATTATTTACATTTCCGCATATAATGTCGTTTTTACAAAACATTTTATTATAAACAAGAATAATAAAGATTGTAACAATAAAAAGAAAAAATAATAAATATTTGTTAATAGAAAGAAAGTTCTTACGTTCTAAGAGTATTCCCTGTTTTCGAGTTTCAAGTTTTTTGCTGCAGGGATTTGCACGTTTTTTCCAATGTAGATTCGAGTGAAAAACTTACCTTTCAAAGAGACTGTTGTAATATGAAAGACCCTGCTCCAGATCAACTAGTAATGTGGTTACCAAGTTCGTAAAGTCTTGCAGGACTCGATCGATGTCCTGATCAGGCTCTTGATCATAGCACATTGTCTGTTGTCTGGTATCTTCGTACCTGTAAAATTCAGATCAAGTTGACGAAGAGGTTCGGCACTGTCTGCATTAACAACTTTTTCAAAAGAGAAAGTACAACTAAAGAACTATAGTTTGTTAAAAAAGCATTTTATTATTGTTTTCGATTTACCATTCAAGAGTTCCTTTTCTAAGAGCGGTAATAATTTCTCCTCGAATTTCCTTGTTAAATGGACAGCAAGTTCGGAAAGCCTTCATATTTGAGAGTAGCCCTAAGCATCTGCATTGTAACAATAATATAATTTTGCACATAAATTATTCAAGTATAAAATTTATAGATAATTTTTTTTATCGAAGATAATAAAAAAAGTTTATAAATTTGTTATATTTCTAGAAAGATATGGTTTTTCTTTTTCTCTCCCTCACCTGAGCAGATAATCCAGTTTCGATATGGTCGGTCTGTGCAGCGGCGGATACAGCACTCGGTGTTGTCTGACTTTTTTCAAAGACATCTCCAAGAAATCATTGAAAGAATCCGCCAGGCATTGTTCCGCATCGCGTGACAGAGTTTCGGTGTGCCATCGATTGTCGAGTTCCTGAATTCGAGACGTTGTAGTTCAAACTTGTAAGTGTTATTTAACGAGTTCACACATTAGTGCGCAACATTGGTTTCCCGTATAAGACGGTCGAAATGCAGAACTGCTGCGGTCACTGAAGTTACCTGGAGAAGACGATGAAGTGTTCGCGGATCGACTGCAGGCTGTCGGGAACTCGCCACCCATCGTATCAAAGCCTGCTGCAATTCGGTCACGTCGCCCTGCACGGCGTGTTGATGTAGGATTGTCAATGCAGTTTGCGGCAGTTCGCCAGTAAAGTCTTCCTGAAGAACACGCAAGCGCGTGTATATGAAGACACGGTCTAATTAATATCCATTTAGTTTCAAATTACGCGAATAAATCGATATATGTCTCAAATGTATGAAATCGTAATTTACGCGATAATTTAACTGACTACTGTGACAAAAAGATAAAAAACTTTAAAACAATAATAAAAACACAAAATAAAATATATATATATATATTACAAGTATTATGTATATTTATAAATATGTTATTTATATATTTTGATTAAAACTTCTATTGTATTTTATATGTTCTCTCGCATTTTATATATTCAAAGTGTTATATTTGTTTTTCTATATTTTTTTCTCTCTCTTGTGTGTGTGTAATAAATCTATGATTACGTATATCACGTAACATGTAACTGTGGATAATTTCGTACTACACGTCTAGTAAACATGACGAGAAAGATGTATAGTATTCGTATCGTCTTACGGGCAAATATTTATTAACCCTGATACACGCAATATATAATAAATATAATATGTTTCACACACAAGTGTGTAACAAGTGCATGTAGTGAATGTTACGTACTCCTTGTTTGTTCATTTCATGATTAAGGAAAACCGTATACAGCCTTTCCTGCTGTCTCAGCTCGCCCCAATTATCTTCCTCAGACGTCCCGCGGTCTTCTCTTGTCGACAGCCATAATTTCAGTCTAATTCTACCCTGGATATTACTTCTTTGTGTGCGCGCTTCCAGTTTGTACCACTGATCCACTCCGGTGCTCGGAATATCCTGCGTAAGGATCGCGCACAAATAACTCTCTCTCTTGCACATTATCTATAATGAATCGAACACTCACCACAAGAGGGATATTCACACAGCCTAGAAAGTCGTCCTGACTACCGGTTCTAGCACTCTGCGCGATCTGTTTGAAGAATCGTCCAAGCCCTTTCACACCTCGCACCTCGTTGAGTTTGATTACCGCGTCGAACACCGAGGACTCGTCGTCGTGGTCCCTGAAATTGTCATTGCACATTTTGCACAGTTCAACGCTTCAAAACATTACTTAAAAGTAAAAAAAATGTTTCAATATTCACGTGTCGAACACTCACCATATGTCCAAATGGAGAATGTCTGTGTTGATGTCGTCGATGTCGCTGAAAGAGGAATCGGTGTACGATTATGCACGAGAACACGGAGTTGCGTTATTTAGACTAATGAACAGAATATCGCAATTGCAAGCGCCAATTACAAAAGGGATCAGACCCTAAAAGATTCGCTTACAAACGGAACTTCTCGTTCCATCGCGGGCTCAGCGTGTGCGGCTTCACCGAGGTAGCTCGTATAAACTTCGCGGGTAAAGCACCGCTTAAGGACTCGCGGTGTTCCCGTCTGCTGCTGTGCTCCTTGCGCTTAAACGAAAGCCTGAAACTAAATTTATAAATAGTCGTATTTTATTAATTGTTATTTTAATGCACTTAGCGCCGATCTCCGTTTGTAATGAATCTTCGAATCTACAATAGTTTTTCATTTGTTTTAAGTTTTTATTTTATCCGACAACTTATCCTTTTCGTCGGCGAAGACGGACGCGTCTAACAATCACATATTAATTGTAACAAAATATTAAAAAATATTAGTGTAAATAGAAGTAACCACACACACACACACACACAAGATACAAATTTATCGCATCTATAACATTTTTTTCCTAAAATTATATGCTACTTTGTTACAATTTTCAAATTTTTTTCAGAAATTGTGTCTATTCTAAAACTTTCTGTAAGTTATTAATTTCTCAGTATTGTTTTATAAGTAAACTACTCGCATTGTATTACAACTGGCTTGTGCTAATTTCAAGACTTGAATTTTAGATACACTTTTGCAACATATTTGAAACTCGAATTTTAACTCTAATTAGTAACTTGTGTTGTTGTTTGTTATCGTCGTTGTAAGCAAGTAGAGTAGAATCTAAAGTTTTCCTCACAAGGCTTCTAAATTCTCTATGCCAAAATGCGGCATGACAATCGCAGAATCCGAATAGTATTTCGCGCGCGATCAACTCCTCGTAAAACGTTGCGCGTCTCGTCTACAGCTCGTGATACACTACTCGCTCTCGTTTCTCGTCGCTTAATCACTTATTGCATTAGGTGGCGAGCGAAACAATATATACAGCAAAACGAACTTTCTCTTTCTCTCTCTCTCTCTCTCTCTCTCTCTCAATATTCATGCCTGTTTTACAACCGGGATACTCGCTGTTCACAGAACTTGCTGCATCCGACGCGTCTATTATGTATCGTGTCCCATTGTCGCAAATGTCGTTGGAGTTAGCGAGCGGTAAATACACACATCATCGCACGATACGTGGATCCGTAACACGGCTAGATTGTCGCGTCCCGATTGCTCGGCTTTAATCTGCTATTATTCGGAAAATGTAGCAGATGCAACACCAATACTTTATATAATCCGTTTTACTTCGTATATCCTATTTAAAAGATCTAGGACATGCTACTTCTGTACTCGCTTCTGCACAATTTTGTATACGTGTATCTAAATACTAATCTCAACTGTCAGTGAAATGATATACAAAGAATGTATCAAAAAATAATAAAACTGTTAGAGATGTATTCATTGAAATAACATTCATTAAAAAAATTTAATTATTCACATCTTTATATCAACAAAAAATATGCACAAAATATTTTCTATATTAAAATGTTTTGTTTACGAATTTATAGAGAGATTCGAAACACAAAATCGTTATTTTCCATTTTTTCATTTTCTCATAGTTGTTTTTGTTTAAACATTAAGCTTTCTTTTGTAATATTATGTTACCTCCAGGTGTGCATTTATCTCGAGTAGCACGTCACCAATATTTTATCATCTTGTTGATAACGCTAGGGACACATGCAGTAATATTTTATAATAAACGACATTTTCAAGAGAGCGGACTACTAACACATCATTAATATCAATAACAGCTAACTCTTTTTCACTGCGGAAAAATGTAAAAGGGAAAAGTTCAATTCTACAGAACGCGCTCATTCTCTGTACGAGAAATAAAAAAAGAAAAACTTTGTAGCCACAAATACATATAGAAGTGATTTTATTTGAAAAAAATGAGTAACACATTTTTGTCGTCAGATTAGACTAAATATCTGCTTTATATATAAATTGAAAACGATTTCTAATCAATTTATTCAAAATCTTCTCGCACGTTATTTCACATCGCTTACAGTTATGACGCGATCAAATCGCGAAACCAAACGTGCTAAAAGTTAACAACGATTTATGACAAAGCTTTTGTATGGCTTTCGATTGACGTGAGCTTGATCAATCCCTTCATCAATCATCTCTTTCGAACGTCGACTTACCTATGATGCTTTCGAAGTTTCTCGTGATGCGAATTTTCGTTCTCACCCCCGTCGGACAGAGCGCGGGTAGCTTGTCTCGGGGAAGCCGGGGGTGTGTGGGGCGAATGTGCCGTTAAATTCGTTTGCGGACTCAATGGTGCACTCGCGTTGCCAGGCTGTATGCCCAGCATGCAGTAAGGGTCGCTGAATCCTGAAGCAAAAATCGGAGCACATATATATTTTCATTTATTTTTATTTTTACCACACATGTTATTTTATTTATCAAAGAGTTTATTTTTCATTTAAATTAAATTAAATTCAATTAAAGTAATTTACAATTTTATATAGTTGTTCATTATGTTTTAAATTTGCACAAAACAATCTCGCAATTGGTTCTCTTAAACAATATTTTAATTGCAATGTTTTTGTTGGTTAACGCGTCAATCTTTTCTTTGCAAAAATATTGCGCAAAGTTAAACATTTGTCATAAAGTTTAAAGTAAACACCAAGTATCAAGACTGAGTTTGTTTTGAGAAGAGACTGACGAGAACGCCTTAAATTATTAATTAAACAGAGTGAAACTTCAAACGTTAGTATTTATTTTCGCGTACAGCAAATCTTAGTTGTGAGAAATCTTCATTTAGTGTTAATCGCTCGTAATTCGACTCAAAGCGCATTGAGCGAAACTTACCGTTAACATCCTTCGCCTCAAGTCCGTCGGCTTCGATCACCACCACGCTTAGCACAACGATAGGTGGCTGTGCACAAGGAGATAATAAACAGATAAGTTTCATTTCTTTCATTGTTCTCGGGACAAATCGATGATATCGCAGCGCTTTTGGGAACATAAAACTAACATACTTTTTCTTCCGAGGCAATATTGAGATATCGTCGGTGCTGATCCTGCGGAACTCCAAAGGCTTCCTGAGCGTATCGATACAGATCCTCCTTGTAGTGCGCATATTGTCCTGTGCTGGCGCCTACCGTGTTTTGAATCGTGTAAAGAACTTCTATGTACAACTGTTCCATCTGAAAACAAAAATGCGACGCGCATTTCAATATTTTATAGCATTGTCATATTACTTTTATCAAATATGTAAATTGTAGTACTGATCGCACTCGGCTTTTACTAGCCTTATATTATTTCTCTTATATACTTTCTTTCATAATTTTTTATTGATAAATCACGTCTGTCTTTACGTGATGAAAATTCTAGTAAAGACTCGGTTTTTATTACGCAATTAAAATCATTACGGTATTTATTTGACGAGGAGAAGCGATTATTAAAGCGACTATATTAATTTATTCCAAAAACGACGTGCAGGAGATATTGTTAGACGAGAAGAGGATTAAGTTGCAGCGTAAAGATTTCCTTTGTCTCGTCGAACGATCGTGTTTTTCTGCTCCTTCTTTCGGATATTTCAAGCAATACGGTGTTCATTATACCAAGATAACAAACTTATTTTATGAGAGATAGAACAATAAAACCGATAGAAGAGCATTTGCGTTTTCGTTGACCGAATTTGTACTTTTCTATTCGTAAAAATACACACACAAGTATATTTCTTGTATTTTATGTAAGCGCAAAATTAATGAATTTAAAAAAAAGTCTCTTGCATTTTATATAAAAATTACGTTGAACATTGTCTCTGTATCATATGTTCATTATCTCTTATATATTATTTATTACTTTAGAAAACAGACGCAATTTACATATTTATGAAAAATTACTATAAACTCAGCAATACATCTACGTTGCAACGTTATTTTTCAATATTTTATTTTTATTTAATTTGTTTTTACTTTTTCTTATTTAACAATGATACAACGTTAACAGCTTTCCGTTCTCTATTATTTTCTCTTAAAACGTAGCAAACAACATAGCTTTTACGTCGAAGAGGAAATACGAATGAGGATTAAATAGAGCTAGTAATGACAGAAACAACGTATGTAAGAGAGAAAAAGAAGAAAAACACTGAAATGATTAGCTTGACATGGAAACCTCGTTGAAAATCTCACGACTTTTGTAGAAATGTTATTTACTTAAGAGCGTTTTTTCTCTCCGAAGGTTATTTCTTTTATTTTACGTGAGTCGAGAGCGCTTGACACATACACACACACTACACACACGACAATATGAAAAATGGCGCGAGTACTTCTAGGAATCTAGATCAAAGAGAAGTTGCGAATGATATATTTTTTATTATACTTCTGTCGAGTTTGCGACATCGCACGAGCCGACAAATATTATCTATCACTTAAGAAATTGCGCGAACGATCGCGAATTCGAATTTTAACATTAGAAATTGCAAAGTTGGAATCATCATCTCACACATATCCGTTGCTACGTCAAAACCTCAAGCGGAACGTATTTACTTTCGTTAGGAGCTACTTACTGTCTGTTATTCTCCCGATAAACTGCTGAACGCGCCCGTCTGACCCGCGGCTGATTTTATCCACTTAGGATAATACCTCAAATAGAACGAGCGTAAACTATTCGACCGCATGCAAGCTCGCTGCAACGTGTGGAATAACACGTGCTAAATGCAACGATGCTGCGTTGCATGTGATTCGATCAGAGCGCGAAGATGCGGAAGATTGGCCGCTAATTCGTTTAGTAATGATCGAGGAACAGTTTTCCCGGGATTTGTAAAATATATACGATCTAGGTGGAATAAATTACGAATCTTGCAGCACACAAATAATAGAGAACAAAAAGTCACTCGAGAATTTTTATAATAAATATTTTTATAATAAATTCTTAAAATTAACATTTAAAATAATTGTTGCATTAAAAAGACAGAAATAGTTACGTGACATAACGTGAACTACATTGACCTCTTTTTTGCCCAGCCGATACGGTTGCGAGGTCAAAGTTGAGTCTCTAGACGGCGGTGGCGGTTCCTTGGCTCTTTCCTCCACTTCCTGAAGAACAACGAGTCTTCGATTCTCCTGTTTCCACGATAAAGCAGTAAAGCTCTCGAAGAAGGATCCATCTGTTTCTTGAACACTGTACAAATAAATTGTGACAAAAAAAATAATTTTCTTCTTATATATTTGTTTGTGACAACAAAACAAATATTGTATAATATATATGTTAGTTTTTAAATTATAATAATTTACTACGTGTGACTTTTCAAGACTTATTATCTGACATACACACAGTAACACCGTGTTTATGTACATGTACGTGCAAAGTTTACTCGTTGATAAACACAAATATTAATTTTGTGGTTATATCAAACTAGTACGTGTCACCAAACCGTACACACCTCGCACTTGCTATATTTAGCAACACACGCAAATGTTTTTCTAAGCAAATCCTGATTTTCTATTTATCGATATTGCGCACAATTAATTAACTCACATACACATTTTTACGATATAGTTGAAAGTGTGAAATTGCTAAGTATTCGATACGTGCTAACAAATCGAAAAAAACAAATAAATATTGACGGTCATCGTATCACCAGCGTTCCGTGTAGTGTGCAATTTGAATTCATAAATATAAAATGTTATTACTTCACTCCGTGTGTCGACGATATTGGCGCTCTCGCGCGTGTACACGCAATCTCGCGAAACTATCGATCGCTATCAACACATTAGAATTTGAACGTTATGCGGCGCATATGCGTTTCGAATGAGTTAACGAACAAGCAAACAGCAGGAATCTTGAGTCGTAGTCGAGCAGTATATGTTTTTCATATAGCTATTTCTTTACGCGTGTGCATCTATTGATTATATTAATCGGCTTGTAGAAGATTTCTTCTGTTGATTTTGATAAACAATTTTAAAGAGGATTAACCACATATATATACAATCTGAACAAAATTTGTACCTCCTGTACAGAAAAAATTTATACGCACTGATAACTTTGTGTTTATTAACTTTGTTTGATTTCAGACAATATCCTAATACACGTGACATCGCAACATACGTATTACGGATAATCCTACAAGTGTTGACATGTTACATCCTAGCGTCAAGGAGCAAAACCGAGACCGAGTAATTAACGTGATCACCTTGTGACGTCATTTTGACCAGTTACGTCTGTACAGCCTTTGATGGGAAATAGCGTTTCCCGTTAACGCGAGAGCTCGATTGGAATCAAGGTGATCAAGTAGCCTCGAAAACGCGGGTATTAGCGGGAAGATTGTTACGCAACGTGACAGTGAAAATCTATAATTGTTTCAAGGTGATAAAAATCTCGATAGTTAGATCTAGATGTATGCGGGCGTGTCGTTGATAAGAACATATTCTATATATATGTACATGCACGTGTGTGCTCGAATTAAACTGGTTGCGCGCACACAGCCTTGCTGTTGGTTTTCTTTATACGCTTTTTCGCTTATAAAGCAAAGAGATTAAACCTTCGCAAATGTGATGAGTTACAATGAGACGCGAGTGTACAACAGGATTAGTTTGCTCTTTTTAGCAGTGGCATAATTTTAATAAAATTTTTCTTTCTCTTTCTAGTGTTTATAATGGCAAAAAGTATATTTTGTAATAACAAACGTTCTCTCAAAATAAAACACACGTGTAGTCATATTTAATACATTATATTTATTATATTGTTTTTATTATATTTCATTAATATTGACAAAGAGCTCAGCACACAGTAATACAGAACAGATAGGAAAGACTTAACCAAGCTCAAAAATAAAATATAAAATATATAAATATTGAAATATATGTGTAATAATTATAGTAACATACACAAATGTGTAATTATTATAGTAACACATTACATAAATTTTCTTTTTTTTTTCCAATAGGCGTGTTATTTTGTCTTTATTCCGCCCTGCTGCATTATCATACTTATACCGATTGACGCCGTGACATTTGCAGCCATTTTGTTTTCCGGCTACCGTGTTCAAAAGGTTCACATCGCCGGGAATATCGCAGTGAAAAATCGCATCTTATCCCTTTCGTGTTTCAAAGCCTTTACTTGCAGCAAGATAGCATGCAAAAAATTGAACAGAAAAAAAAAGCGCTATGAATTAAAAAGCACAGCTCAGAATTCGAACTCCAGGTTGTTTGCATAATACGCAATATCGACGACAACTTTCTTTTTATAGCCTGCATAATTCGTGAATCAACGTGTTAATTGCTCGAGCGGCCCTAGGTTTTTACATCTTAATAACGGTCTTATAATTAAAAAGCAATTGATCGGTCTCTTTCAATTAATTCAAGTTTTAATTAAGTAAAAGATAAATGATTTTACACAATTTAAAGAGAGAGAAGGAAAGAGAAAGTGAGAGAGAGAGAGCTCGCTTGTTTAATTGCAATATGAAAAAGTGTATGCAATTTTATTTTCATTTCCGTAGCAAGCGAGGCATAAAAAAAAAGAAATTATGTAACGCACGTACGAGTTAGATGCATTTATTTGATTTCGTGTCTCTCAATGTTAGAAAAAATTTACTCTTTCCAAAAATACATATGGATATTTTATGTCAAAAAAAAAACACGCAATAGAATTTCGACGATCTTTCTGGCAATAAAAAGTTTCCAAAGAAGTAACTTAGAAGACCTTCGAGTTGGGGGCGGAATTCTATATTTGTAACGAAATATCGATCGCTGCGCAAACTGAGATATTCTCTTTATTCCACATGCAACTTACTTCATTTGCGTAAAATGAGAGAAATTTATGCAAAATCTTATCCTTCTTCATTCACTGTCACAGATATATAATGTTACAGTCAAGTGACGAGAGAAAGAGAGAGAGAGAGAGAGCGGGATCTAAATCAGGAGGGAGTCCAAAGCACGTTACCGTGAAGATACGAAGAGGACAATAATGCTGTCTCTCACTGTGGCTTTTTACAAGGGAACTGGTTAAGCGCGCTGTTAGCTGTTCGCAAGAAGACGAGAAAATATGTTGCGGACGGAACACAACGAGCCGTGGGTATTTCACGTAATGGAATCCGAAAGCGTACTCACGACATTCTTATCGTCATTGTCCTACCGTTGAGGATATCTCTGCTGTGAATCGTAATTCGATCAAAGTAGAACTTACTCCTAAACCTTCAATGCTCGACTTTCAAAGATACACTTACGTAGATTACGGTTCTTTAATTATAAAAAAAAAGAGCAATTTTTTTGTACTACATTTAAGTATCTTCTTTCAAATATTTTTTTGTATGTATAAAAAAAAGTACAAAGATATATTTAAACCTTAAACCAAAAAACCAGTCACAAAAAATTTCTTTATATAATATTTTAATATTTAACATTTTTTCTATATTAGATTTTCCATGTATTTCTATTTATATTTTTTCTGATAATAATTAATACACCGAGTTTGAATTTACCATGGTTTTCTTTTCACGTACTTTTATCCTCGTCAATGTAAACAGGTTTGCGCGCAAAATTACGCGCGATAATTTAACTTTACGTGTCGCATAATATTTCCAAGGCTGCATCTGATTACCGAGTTGTAACTTGTTTAATTGTTATTTAATGACTTTTCTCTGGCGCTTGCTGCAAAATTACGCTAGTCCGCTGCTGTTTTTCTTCAGAACGGTGATAAGCGAAGATGAAGGTACGAGCGATAAGAGATTATTGCACGCGGACGGTGTATGTTTAAAATAATATAGACCGAGCACGAACATTTTTTTTCTGTAGGGTAGCATTAATTTCTTGTTCTTATGAAATGTAATACGGCAGTCAGATCTGATTGACTATAGCCGTTTAGATTACTTTGTACAAATTACTTTCGATTTTCTGAAATAACGAAATTAAAGATCCAACGCTTCTTTTTAATATCAATATTTTAAATTATATACATTTTATATCAAACTGTCAAAATTGCAACTCAAATAGTCAAAAATTAATCAGCGTCGCGAAAGAGGCGACAATATTTTTGAGAGATTTAAAGAAAAAAAAAAAGAAGAAAGGAAAAACAAATATATATTTTATTTTTTATTGTTACATATTTCTTTATTTTAGCATCTCTATTATGCTAAGGAAAGATTTTTTTAATGAATCTTTATGTGAAAGCCGCGCTTTCTTTTGCTTGACATTGTAAGGCGTTGAAATGGTGCGCTTTAGAGAAGAGACCTCCTATCCCATAGACGACTCGCTTCATAAACGAGCGTGAATATTTCACATCTCTCAGAGGTTCTCTTAAAATCTCGGAATCGTACATTCGAACTGGGTGCGTTGTTTCTTTCCGGTTATATATGTAACGTTGATTTTCTTTTTTGCTACAGAAATCCAGAATTTGCGTGAGCGAACTTAACGTTTTGCTTTTTGTTTTTTCGATAACACCACGACGTTTTCGAGTACTCAACAAAAAATAAGTCGTTCTATACAAATCGCTCTTGTTTTCGGTTTTTGCCTCGTTTTCATCTTTTTGAAAAAACGTTCTCTTAATTTCAGAGCACTTCATGCAAAGACAATGACAAATTCGCATAATTGGAACTCACGGTAGAAACAGAGAAAGTCGCTCGCTTAAACGAGATCCGGTTGTTGACTCTGCTCGCCCTGTTTTCGCTCATCGAGAATTCGCATAATAAAATTTGCCGCGTTGAAAAAAGTTTTACAAAATTTTCCCGGCGATCTACTCTTGTTACATAATTTGTTACATAATTCGTATACTTTGTATCTGCGGACATACACACTTTCACAAAATGCAAGAGAAATAAACTATTAATAAAATATGTTGTGCCATAATTATGTACATAATTTTTTATGGTATTTTTGATTTAACTTTTTACTGATTATATTATTTGGCGTTGTATATGAAAAGCTTTGCGCGCGCAAATTATTTATTAGGTTCTCCGTGTCTGAACGAAACGAGACGACGTAATCTATGACGACGTATATAATTTTGGCTTTACGACGTAATACAATATTGTCTCAGACGTACAATATTTCTCAGCTTTAGTAGATTGCTACGGGATCAAATAGATGTAATGGATTAGATTAGAGATGTCGCTAATACAACGTGTACAATCTCTCACACGGCTTCGTGACAAGTCTTGACCTTGCCCGTGCCAGATTCACCAACGG